AGCTCCCTGACTCCACAGTCCTCCAAAGTCCTGACTCCATAGCAGAGGAAGTCAGCATCCCCACCCTCAGCCACTGAGCTCTCAGAGACTGCACATACGATTTTCCCGTGGCAAGGCTGTTAACACTTGCTTCTTTACTCTAGACATTAAAAATTCTACTATTTGCTTATGGGCAATTATAACAGCTAAAAACAACAAATAACTCATTGAACTATACATTTAAGTATGTGCAGTTTATTATAAGCAACTTACAACAAAATAAAGATAGTGGGAAAAAATGAAGATCCTTGACAATAAACTAAGTCCAAGGAGTAATCTCACGCAGGTGAAAATTCATCTCACGATTAGGGAGTCCTGTCTCTATTAGAGGTAAATAATCTGCAGAAGCGCCGAGATCTAATCTATGGCTATGACTGAGTCTGGAAAAATCCTAAATAAGGAATAAACAAACACATTTATTTAAAAATTTTTTTTTCACTGGGGTCACACAGTAGATCTTTTGGCTTTGAGGAATGTAACTTCTTGATGCAAGACCAAGGGTAAACCAATAATAAAATATATGCCTAGGTAGTAAATGACACAAGTTAGGTAAAAAGTATAAAAGTTAGCAACATCCAAAAGCCAGTTTGTTTTTTGGCTTAGAACCATTTTTTAAAGTTCTTAGGTTGCTCATTCATTCATTCAACCAACATTTATCAAGAGTCTACCAGGGGCAAGTGTTGTACAGGATCTCAGGGGGCCAAGGAAAACCATGAAGACAGATCTTGGCTCTGAAGAGTTCATCTTCTAACAGGGGCAAGGAGGGTCGGTAGACAGTACCCATGTTACCAAATAACAAAACAGAGAGTAGAAAGTGCTGTGGAGGAATAATATTAATAATGGTGAGAATCATAGTTATCACAAACAGCAATCTTTCTAGGTGCTAGGCAGAATATAAGTTTCACTAGAATTAATTTACCCTATGCATGGAGTGGCTCTATGATTTTACAAATGTGGAGACAAAGTCCAAAGTCACCCAATTAGTAGCAGCTGAGACTTGAATCCCAGCCATCTGGAGTCAGAGTCCAAGTTTTTCCTCCAGCACCACACCACTTTGTGTGCAAGGTAAAGTAAAAGAGGAGGAATTACTTTAGGTAAGATGATGAGGGAAATCTGTCAGAAGTGACACTTAAGCAAAAGATCTAAAGAATGAGAAATGTTGCTCTTTTCTCTGGCAGTGACTAAAGAATAAGAATAGTTGCTTATTAGGTCACTACTTCGTTCAATTATTTTTATATTATTTATGGCAAAAGGAGCAAGTTATTTAATTGCTTTTGTCATGAGCAAACTAGGTGAGTGACATTTTAAGCAAATGAGTAGGAATCAAAATAACATGATAGCTAAATAAATATTTATAATTCATTGTAAGACCACAATGCATAATAATGCTTGAAAAAAAAAACAAACCGCCATATTTAGCACTTACTTCATTCAAACCTTTTGTTTGCTAAGAATCATGTCATCTTTGTCCAAACGTCTGCTAAACTTGAATGAGCTGGCTCTGAATTAATGAGGTCATTAAAATCCTCCATTCTATTTTGGAGAAGACTAGTATTTTTGAACAAAGAAAGGAGCAGACCACTGATTTTTTTTTTATAAATGCATTCAGTCCTTGAGAAATATACCCTTTTATACATCTCCTGCCATGATGTCTTTAAGAATTCCTGGGGTTTTCCCCAAGAAACTCTTACTAACTACTATCCAACCTGCTCCCGTCTGGAAAGGCCCTGTCTAAATAGAATCATAACCACTATTCATGGCTTGACCAGGAGGGCATTTGATTGAGAATCTCCAGAAGGAGGAGTGAACAGGCAGAAGGACCCTAAACTCAAAAGCTTAAAGACTTTACGGAACAGAACCTGAGGCCATTTATAGAGTATTTCCCTTCCTCCCTCCCCTCGTTGAAGACCCCACTTCTCTTTTCAAACCTTGAAGAATTTTGCACTTGAATAAGAGGTCATTTGTTTGTCAATCGCTACCACAGGCTGACGAGAAGAGGCAGGACAACTGAAGAAAGGAAGAGACAGACACTCCAGTAACATTTCTCACTATCTCAGACCTCCAACTCAATTTTTCTTCCTACCTACCTCTAAAAGCTCAGCTTCTTCAATTTTACACCCCCCTCCCTTTAATTCCACAGTTCTACAGCTAAACCACTGACCCCAGAGTTTCTACTCCAGATCTGAATCTACAATCCTACCCCAAAGACCTATCTACTTTAGGGTGTCTGCCACTAGCAAGTACTTTGGCATTTCCATTAATAAAGTCAACAATGAGTAGTGAAGGGGGAATTCCAGCTTCTGCTGACAAGTTATGGCAAATGAAGATGTTTCTCCAGAAACCCAGAATCAAATCTGAACACACTTTCCTTATTATAGGTGAGAGTCTTTATTTGATAATTACTATACTCTGGTATACTCTGGGTTGAAAGCTAATCTGAACTACAAACCACTATGGATAAACACAGCAGTATCAAAGCCTCTGAGATATACAGCTGACTCATGAACAATACTGGTTTGACTTAAAGGAACCACTTACATGCAGATTTTTTTCTTCTGTCTGTAGGTATGAATTCATGGATCCAACAAACCTCTACAATTCTAAGTTATGTGCCAACTCACCACTGTGTGGTAGTTGGCATCACTAGACCTCCATGCACCAGTGCTTTAAGGGTCAACAGCATTATCACACTCTATCTCCTCAAGCCTCTGGAGCTTGGGGGTGGGAGTCAACAGTTTAGAGCAGCACTGAGAAAAAAAGCATCTAACACTGATAAGAGACTTAAATGTCTGTTTACAAGATAAATGAAAATAATGTACAGGTGATCTTTTTTGTAACAAAGCCTGGTTTTACATTGAAAACTGTCTGGACCCTGAAGTGGTTAACAGAGCAAGAGAAAAAACATTATTTAAGGGAAAAAAATTTCAGTTTCTGAGGACTACAGTTGGCTTTACCTTTCTGAGACGGCCTTGTGAGACAGTCTACACCTTATTTAAATAGCTGAAGTTCGGTGGGTTGCTATTGAAATCTGCCTCCACTTTATTCCCCTAAAGGCTAAACCAGGTGTCACTAATCCCCAGTTGCCCTGCTCCCCACCAGAAACTTCAGTCTGATGATTTGACATCAAAGAAATGTTCATAGTCTCTGAGAGATAGATGATTTGTTTGCCTTGTCTCAACTGGCAAAATTCTGGTTCAAATGGAGAAAATACTCATTTGAAAGAAGCAAAACAATGAAAATACTTTCCACTTGGGCAGAAATTTACCTTTCCAATTTAAATCAGAGTAAATAATCCTAATGACTTGAGTGACTCTAAGTGACTCTGGATTTGCTGTGGGTGGACCTTTTATGCCTATTTGCACAATTTTATACCTGCCCCAAAACAAAAGTATAGCAATCCTTTTTCATGCATCATGAACCAAGTATTGGCACGTAATATTGATAATACCTAACAAGTAAAGACAGGCTTTCATTACTAATCTGGTGCTTTCCCATGCTCTTCAGTGTATCTGTTCAAATACTTGGAGATGTTTGTAATTTTCCGTGACCCACAGTTAGAATACATAAATAATGTACAGAAAGGCGTGCCCAAGAGTTAAGAATTTTTTCCTTTTGTTTACTTTCAAAGGAAGAAAAAATATTTCAACAAACAGGAACATCTGAAGGGTAAGGATAAAATTCAAGACTTGTACATGGTTTGAATTAGTTTCCCTTGGATATACAGTAGTCAAACTATTTTTAATGCAAACTTTGGCAATCTCACCGTCTGTAGAGGAAATTGAATGCTGGCTACAATGACACAATTTGTCATTTTAGTTTTCAGAATCATGCCAAAACAAATGCCTCAGATAAAAAGATGGAAAACAAGTGAGGTAGTTTTTCTTTTTAACATGCTTAAGATAGAAGCTTTGATATCTTCAAGAACAGAATTATGTTCAAATCCCCCAAAACTCATGCTTGCTTTTACTTTTTGGCTTTTAGACATGCTGGTCTCCCTGCATAGATGTTCTTCCTGCCATAAATATGTACCTTTTCATTTCTTTTCGCCCCTCTATTTATCATAGACATCAACCAAGGCCTCACTTCTCCCCAAAGCCTCATGAGGCCTCTACTATCCTTTTATGGCGGTTTGGACTGTGTTTTATTCTTTGAAAATAACATCAATTTGGTTTTCAGCATGACTAAAGGACATGAAAGCTTACAATATATGATGTAACAAAGGCATACTATAAATTGTAACTTTCTTGTTCATTTTTAATTTAGAGTAACACAAACATGTTACTTTATACATATTCTCGACAAGAATTTCGCTGAGTCAGGTTCACCATAACCTTTCTGAGTAAAGCTGATTTTAAAAGGGGAGAGTGCTAAGATGCTGATGCAATGGAGCAGAGGGGCATTCTTTCATTTATTTGAAGTTTTCGGAGGCTGCCTCTACACATCATTACTCCAGTTCTGATGATGTGGCAGATAAAGAAAGATGCAAACAAATAAACAGATACACTCATGACTCCCCCCACCCCACCCAGAAACTGGTAAATGGAGTAAAAACAGTACAGGCACCAACTGGAAGCATACAAAAACATCTCAGGACTTGCAGGAATGCTTTTAGCAGGGCACAAAGTAAAGAGTTTCAAACATCTCAGTCTTCAGTTATTGTGGGGCAGGATGGAGGAATTCATCCTAATCCAGCCAATGATCTGGAATGGGGTGTTTCTGCTGCCTATATAGTGAGGACTATATTTTTTTCTTAATAAATAAGGTTTTTATCTTTTCCCTCCAGTTTTATTAAGATATAACAGAAAATTAAAATTGTACTAATTAAAGGTGTACAACATAATGATTTGCTGTTTTATACGTTGAAAAGTGATGATGAGAGCTTAACATTCAGATTGCATAATTACAATTTTTTTTTACTGAGCTGGATACTAAATGATTGATGTTCCTACAGATTTGCTTACCTCAACATATGAAATTGGAAATATTCCTATTTTGTCGGCCAGCATGCCTTCAGCCCAGTTTTCATCCACTCTGCGAATCACAGTCAGAACATCATCCTGAAGAAACAGCAAACATTAGTCCACCTGGTCACATTAAGACACTTGCCACTTAATTTCCCTTTCAAAGGGGCTCAACTGTTGAAAGTACATGAATTAAGATGATACAACAAATCTTTGGTGCAGGAATCCAATGTCTGCATGAACTAAATGGCAACTACCAACCAACATGGGGTCATTTCAGGCAGTGGTAAAATTATGAACCCCTCTACACCTGCTTATTTTATTTATATTTATAAACAACAACCTCAAGTGCTACCCATCCCAGCCTCTAGTATTTCTTTTATAAATTGATTTGTAGGATTTTCTCACTTTCTCTCTGATAACACATCAACGTCCATTTAAATGTGTATTTTTCTGTGTTTCTTTACAAAAAAGACAAATCTCCTGAAAATCCAAATTTTATCAATCAAATCCTCAATTCAGTGACATATATTCCTGGGTCTTTTTCAGCAAAGAAATCTACATATAAAGTAAGGACATAAAAGTGTTTCACTTTGTTATCATAATTCAGAGACTTAAAATTCCTAAGTGGAGTACGCACTTTGTAAAGTAGCTTAGAATTAAACTTAGGCTATACCTATTTACAATAGCTAAGATATAGAAACAACCTAAATGCCCCAAAACAGATACATAAATCAAGAAGATGTGTTATACATAATGAACGGAATACGACTCATCGATCAAAAAAGGTAAACTCGGGCCTCCCCGGTGGCGCAGCAGTTGAGCGCTGGGTTGTGAAGCTGCCCGGGGCCTCTGCAGCGGCGGTTCGATCCCCGGCTGCTCCCCGGCCACCGGAGGAGGGTCCCGCCTGGCGCGCAGATCTTTCCTGCCGCCCGCTGCTCCCCTCAGCAGTGTACTTCGTCCTTCTGCCTGCTCTGCTCCCCGCTCTGACTCTGGTGAATTCTCTCACCCTCCCGCGCTTCTGACTGTACCCAGTGCATGTATAAACAAAAACAAACAAAACAAATAAATATATAAATAAATAAAAACATGCCTCTATAAAAAAAAAAATTCTAAAAAAAAAAAAGGTGAACTCATGCCACTTGTGGCAACATAGATGAAGCTGGAAGGGGTTGTGCTAAGGGAAATAAGCCAGGAGAAAGATAAATACCAGATGGTGTCACTTATATGTGGAACACAGAGAAACCAAAATAGAAAAAAAAAAGGGGGGGGTCAGACAAAGACAAACTTTAAAACCAATCCTTGATAGCTGAGCACAGATCTAAGATATCTAACAGGGAAGGAGCAGGGAATGTTATGGGGGAGAGAGGAGCACAATGGACTATGGCGGAGGACACAGAGCCACAGTGACGACACCTGAGGGGAGCAATCTTACACTGTCAAAAGAATCAACAGGAATGTAAAATAATGATACATCATGTAATTAATCAAGGCTCTAGATAGAAAATGATACTACATAGGGTATCAACCAAAATTATCTTTCCTACAGACAGTCTATGCCCAAAATTACTTTCTTTGTGATTTTAAGACTATCTCCACGGTTTTTTTTTTTTGTTTGTTTTTTTTTAAGTACAGTGAGATAGTTCACAAAAACCTACTGTATCTTTTTGCAAAAGGACACAAAGCCATCCTCTCGTGTATCCAGGCACAGAGAAAGGACTGGCAAATGAGAACAATCTCGCTCTAACTTTACCTTTGCAAATGGAAGGCAATCTTTGTCTGCTTCCTTGTCTTTCACTTCAAAGTCATAAAGTGCTTTGCACTGAGGTGGAGGCTGAGGTAAAGGTTTGATAATCTGCACAAAATTGGTGGGGAAAAAGCCATGTATGCCGTTGACTTCACCGTGGTACCAATTTTCATCCACTTGTCGCCGTAAAATGATGATGTCCCCTTTGCTAAACTTAAGGTCTCCAGGCTCCTTGCCTTCGTAGTTGTATAACGCTTTGGCACATGGTAACTGAGGTATACCCTAAAGGAAAGAGATGAGTTATAATGAAAAAAATGTCCAAAAATGCCTGTAAATTTAACTTTGTGTATTACTGTTAGTAAATCAAGGTCAAATCAACAATTTGCCCTAGGAAGAAAAATCTCATTGCATCATCAAGAAAGAGCAAACACAAATAAATGTCACAGTGAGAAAAGCACAGGAGTCCAGCCATTACCCTCTGCCATTTAACCTTCTATTCCTAAATTTAATTCAGTTGGGAGCTACAGCCTTGTGTGGGGTTTTCAGTACATGGACATATATCTGCTGAGTCTGGTTCCCTGGTGTAAAATTCAAAAACTCATAAAATCAAAATTTCCGATATTAACTACTTTACTCAGCAGGATAAATGATAAGCACTGGGAAGAAAAATTTAAACAGAAGCACAGTTTAGGAATTTATTCATTGTTCTTAAGCTTGAGTGATATGAGTCAGAGTTTGGCTCTTTTCTTACCGCTTTTAATGGGAACAGTAGATCTTATTCTTTCATGAACTCAACCAGGATTTATTGAGGGTCTACTATGAGCCAGGCCTGGACCCCAACAGTGAGTAAGATAGTCAGAGACTCTGTTCTCTAGGAGTTTGTAATCTGTGCTCAGACAGACATACATCTTTTACAGTCTGTATACCATCATGCCACTTGGCTCTCTCCAGGGGAGAGAGCACTGTTAGGCTGATATGCTAATAGATGAGGCTTTAAATATTATTGCATTACATTACGGTTTTAAATGACAGCTTTAAAAATGTGTGTGTGGCCCCAAGGCAATCTAATCATCACATGGATTAAATATGACACTTCCTGATGGCACTGTAGGAACTGAGCATCAGTTGTCACGCTAAGATCTCTGGGGCTCCCTGGGACACTGTTGTCTATCACTGATTGAGACAATAAATGGCAAGTCAAACATAACTAGAGGAAATCGGTGAATGAGATTCCTGGGTTCTGCTTTTCATGTACTTACTCATTCACCCAGAAAACATTCATCAAGCATTTACCTTTTACCAGGCAATGTGCAAGGGCTGAGAAATTAAAGAGGAATAGGGCATAGGTCTCCTCTTTAAGGGATAAGATATGAGAAAGTTATAATAAAGTGAATTGAATTTTGTAGATAGACAATGCAAGCATAGAGATATGACACAGGAGTAGAGAGCACAGGTCTCAGGCTTAGTGGGGGTGGTGGGGAATAAATCACTTCCTGGAGAAAGTGACCCATGAGTCAAGTCTTAAAGTCTACACAGGAGTAGCCAGGCAGAACAAGAGCACAGAGTGCAAGCATTCCAGGCAGAGGAGAAGGCACCAGGACAGATATGGAGTGTGTTGTGTGGAGGGACTGTGGTTTGATGAAGAATGCAATGCTCCTGGAGATTTATTCAGAGATCTCAAGTATAAAAAAGGTAGGCAGAGGTTAGCATATTGGAGGGTCTTGAATGTCGTGTTAAAGTTTCGAAGGCTGTGTCCTTTGGGCAGTGATAAGCCACTCCTGGGTTTGAAGCACAGATGGCCACGATAAGAACCATGTCTCATGCCAGCAAAATCAATCTGGCAGCAGGGTAGAAAATGAACAGGAAGTGGCCAGGCAGGCAGCGGCTGTGTGCAAAGCACAGATCTAAACTAATTGAAAAAAAAAAGTTTTTAAGTTTAATCTTTCTAATGGAATAGAAGCATTCTTATTACTGTCTTCTCCCTAGCCTTCACCTCAAAAAAAAAAAAACAAAACAGTGGATCAAAGTTTTACACCTTTGATATAAACAACAGACCTTCATAATATAGTTTTAAAATTCAGTTTAGTGTCTAGTGAGAGATTTGGAGTCTGGCCTACTCATACGTCCAACTTTTTTGTTAACTATTTTATTTGCCTGAAGAGGAATAGCCGATTCTTGGCTTTCAAAATGCTACTGGCAGTCATCTTGTCTTGGCTTGGTCCATGTGAGGTTGTGTTTGGTTAATCAGACTTGCTCTGAGGCCAATACCCCAGGAAGGAAGGCAAGAGCTGCACCTTCCAGAACTCCTGACACCCTCACATGCCCTCTGACTTTCAGACCCTGCCTGGAGATCCTGCCTCTGACTCCGGTGAGGCAGCTTTGACCTGATCTGGTAAACAAGTCTGCTGTGCTCTTTGCATTTCTGCAGGAACCCTGGTTTTCCACAACCCTGGAACTCTGACCACATTACTCGGTGTCCACCTGTATAGAAGTAGCAATTCTAACTACTGTCTAAGCGCACAGAGATGCCTCACTACATCCTCCACGTTACTCTGCATGTCTTGAATTCTGGTTATCACAGTGTTTTTTCCCATAACAAACACAACAATAAATAATATGTTGAGAGACAGAACAAGAGTGAGTGAGTGAGCCAGAGGCAGAGACCTGAGAAGCATCAGTGCGCTCTGGGCTCACAGCTAACGGGACTTAAACACCAGTGAAGGATAAGGCAGGCAGCGCAGAACCCAGAGCCAGAATTCCTGCGCCTGGAACCCAGAGTTCAAGCATTCCTAGCTGTGTGATCTTGGGCAGGGTAAGTTCTCTGTGCCTCCATTTCTTCATCTGGGATGTTGTGAGGATTTTGTAAATTAATGTATGTAAACCACCACAAATGGCCCAGCAGGCGATAAGTGCTACAAGCATGAGCTCTCATTGTCAGCGTCATCACCCCATGTGAAAAGCCTGTTCATCAGTGAAACACAGCACCTGAAAATGTATTTGTCTCTACACAGCTGGATGCTTTTCCTTTTGGACAAAATTCACATAGCAATTACACTTTTAATACATATTCACTGTATAACAATGCAAAGAATGTTCCTCCTAGGAAGTGCTTGGGATTTTGAAATGTGCATTTCTGAAGCACACATTTGTTTTCTGAGTGGAATCTATTCATCTTCTGGTTGAACAGAAGAAATTACAAATTCACTGACATGCACCGTTTAATAGGGGATGGCATTTTAGATGTGGCTGTAGTTCATCTTGACAGCGCTAATGTAAGGCACTGGAAGCCTGCATGAATTAATTGAAAATCCTATTACCAACTCAGTGACAAATAACTCTATTCACCATTATGGCCTGTTCTCTCGATTTTTCCCTACCTCAATTAGCTCTGTTTGGCCCACTTTGTCCAAACCCATGCCAGCCAAATCCATGCATCAAAATACAGATTTAGCACTCTTAGAAACCACTCTGAACTACTCCTTGAAGAGGTCTGTAAAACTCCAAGGAACTCACATGTGGCTCTTTTGTGATATGTTGATGTGGCAGTGAAAGAATTTATTTCTTCACAGATCAATTCTGTATATCAGTGGTCAAAGGGACTTCTTCACTTATCTACCAAAGCAAATCTATTAAGTGTTCTTAAAAAATCATGAAACATTCTTAACACAAGGAATATTAAAGATAAAAATTATGATGGTGAATTACATGATGATTAGCCCAGTTACGTCCTGTGACTACACAGACTGGCTACATCTTGACTGCTAAGGTTTCTTCAGTGATCAATAACCACAGAGAGAGAATCATAATGCCACTCATTTGTGCATCTGGCTGTGTTTTTCTAGGGTGAGTTTTTTTTTTTTTCCAATTAAATTCAAAGAGGCTAAAAAAGTCAGTTTGTGTCAAGTTTCTCAAAAGAAACCTTTCCACATTAAATAAAATGAATTCTACTTTGATTTCAAATCATGCAAAGTTCAGTGATCTTTAAAAGACTTATTCCCACACAGACTGCAGATGATTAAGGATAAATGGTTAAACGACTTGGAAGAGCAATAAAAGAATGCATTTTCCTCCTGCAACATCTGAAGGATAAAGCCAAAACAATTGGTCTGATAGCCCAAGACTACTCTTGAGGGTAAAATGCGTCTGGAGCCCATGGAGGCCCTGCCTTCTCATTCATCTCCCCAGAAAGGTCTCCGAGTCGTGTCATCACCCAGGCCCTCTGCCCTCGGAGCCTCCGGCAGCCTTTCCATACTGCTGCCTTTCTTCTGTATCCTCTCATCAGGCCACGGCCCCCTGAGGATCTGCAGAGCTTACATTTCACTTGGCTACACATAAAAGGGAGCTTAAAAGCAGGGAAAGCAAGAGAGAAACTGACTCTGCAGTCTAACCTTGGGTTTGCAGCTGTCATTCATATTGCCAGTGTTATCAAAAAGCTTGGTGATTTAGACAGGTGAAGCACTGTAATGATTCTTAATTTGAAATACATTTCAATACACAGTTACTACTTTATTCATATGAAAAAAAGGATAAATGTGACAATGGGCCAGTTTTACTTTCCAAATAATTTCTGCTTCAACATTATACATATAGGTACTTTATAAGACATTAAATTAAGGTCTCATGAGACCTGCACACAAATATTTTTCATTCAATGCTTTACACTCCATCAAGTGTATTCCAATGTATCTGGCAAAGGGCTACTTGATGATCTAGCTAAGATTCTAACAGGTAAATAAAACATTCACTGCCAATTTATTTTATAGACTCTTAAATGCCAGTCCCCCAGATATACAAGCAAGACGGGCCTCTTTAAATTCAAATTCCTTCATGCATTTCTTACTGCTCCATAAAGTAAGAAAGATTCAGTGACCTACTAAAAAAGAATATCCAGAAGATACTCTTGTCATGGAAACAGCAATAAAGTGTGAATAATTTAATAATTTTGCTATCTAAATTGGCACAAACTCCAGCTGACTCCAACTTGACTTTCAAACACTTTCTAGAAAGAGACACAAGAAAATCGTAACAATAGGAAGTACTGGACATGGGATTGTACTTTGTACTTTAAGGAGCAAAATGGGTTGAGAAAATAATTTTTTAAATGTTCTTCATATGACAAAATACATATTGGTTCTTCCCTGTAAGGTGAAGTTCTATAACAATAAAATAATGGTATTTCATAAAAAACAAGGTTCTTTATTAGTTATTAAATCTTATGCATTGTTCTCAAAGACATCTAGGCTGTATTGTCAGGCAAATATTATTTGACCATCACTTGAATG